AGCCATAAGATCACCCTATTTAGAATGCACTCATTCATCTCTTCTGGGCTTCTCTCCTTCTCTTGGAAAATTCTGGCATTCCTTTCTTCCCACACCGACCAAATCAACGCTGCTCTTGCACACCTCCACATAATTCTTCCTCTTCTATGCCACCAAGGGAAGAAAGCAGGATCAAAGAACAAACTTGCATCTGCTGGCCTAACCAACCCGCACCCAAACAATGAGAAGAGCCACTCTCATAACTCTGCAGTAAATGAACAAGATATTATATGGTTACAGTCCTCACCATGTGACCTGCAAAGAATACACCAAGAAGGTGAGAGGTAGAGAAAAGGTCTTCTCTTTTGTAGAGTGTCAAAGGTGTTTATTTTCCTATAATACACTTCCTAGCAAAAAGCCATAACCTTAGGGGGAATAGGCCTGCACCAAATTTCCTTAAAAGGGAAAGGTTGGTTGGGGGTAGACTGAGTAATGGATTTAAAAAAAAGAAGTGCATGAAAAGGATCCACTCCGCTGGGGTGTCCAAATCCGAGTATCATGTTCAGAAGGGTCCAAACATACCGTATCAAGTAGACTTAGCAGATTTGTGAGAGACACAATTTCCTCTTCCCTTAAACCTCTACGAAACCCAAAGTCCCAGTTTGGTGTTAATGGGTTATTCATAATGGAAAAAAACTTTGACACAACATGCTTTTTGTACCTTGAAACAGAGAACAAAGAAGGGAAAAGGTCCTTCAATGGAACCTCTCCCATCCAAGTATCCTCCCAAAATAGGACTGAGTTACCATTGCAAACATCATACCTAACAAAAATGAGGAATTAAGGAAGAATGCCATGAATAGCTTTCCAAGGTGTTGCCAAGGTTGCCCGCCGTGATACTCCAGCATCCCATCCATTTTCTGAGCGGCCATGAATACTACCCACCACCTCATGCCAAAGTCTCTCTCTCTCTCCACTGGCCACCTCTATAGCCACTTCCCCAGCAATGCTTTATTTTTTTTAATCAAATTCCCTAACCCCAAACCCCCTTCCTCTTTATTCCAGCAAACCACCTCCCATTTTATCAAGTGACCCTTTTTACTCTCCCCTGGCTCCCAAAGAAAGTCTCTCATCAACTTCTCTAGCTTCTTAGCTTCCCTAGGTGGTATCCTAAACATAGACAGGAAATAGGTTGGTAAGTTAGCAAGTGTGGCTCTTATCAACGTGATTCTACCCCCCAAGGATAAGTAGTTTTTCCTCCACGAAGTTAACTTCTTTTGGAACCTCTCTACCACTGGACACCAAAAGCTACTCTCCCTAGGGTTTGCCCCTAACGGAAGACCCAAGTAGGTCATAGGCCAAGACGAGATAGAACAACCTAAACTTCTTGCTATAAACTCCACCTCCCTATCCTCCAAGTTAACACCAGCTACACAACTCTTTTCGAAGTTGACACTCAAATTTGACAACCTCTCAAAGCTTCTAACCAATTCCTTGAGATTCCTCACTCTCTCAATATCATCCCCATCACAGAAAATCAGAATATCATCTGCAAATTGGAGATGGGTGACCGAAATACCATCCCTCCCTATTTTCCACCCTTTAATCACATCTTCTCAATCAGCCTTTGAGATCATTCTACTAAGCACCTCTGCTATTAGAGTGAAGAGGAAGGGTGATAGAGGGCCCCCTTGCCTGATACCTCTACAGGCTGGGAAGAAGTCCTTCATCATTCCATTAGCCAAGACACAGTAATACATCCATAAATCCAACTACACCACTTATTCCCGAATCTACAATTTCTCAATACTTCTACCAAAAAGTGTCAATCCACCAAATCGTAGGCCTTTTCTAAATCCAACTTACAGACAAAGCCTCTTCTTTTAGATCTTCTCATATCCTCCACGCACTCATTAGCAATTAGGATCTGATATGCTATTTGTCTCCCTTGTACAAAGGCTCCTTGTGCTTGGCTTATTAAGGATGGGAGAATTTCTTTAAGCCTCAAAGACAACACCTTAGTCAAGATTTTGTAAATGCTAGTTACAAAACTAATTGGCCTGAAGTCCTTAGGTTGGATAGCATCTGATTTCTTAGGGACTAAGGCCAAGAAAGTGGCATTGGCTCCCGGACTTACTATATGATTCTCTAAAAAATCCTCAAAAGCAGCACAAAAATCTTCTTTCAAGATGTCTCAGCAATCTTGGTAGAAAGCCATGGTAAATCCGTCGGGACCTGGCACCTTAGATCTATCCATCATAAACACTGCCCTCCTGATCTCCTCTTCTTCAATATTCCTTTCTAACCACCTTGCTTTTTCTTCCTCTAATCTCAGCCATTCCAAACCTTCCAAAGGCACCCTCTCATTCAAAGACCTACTATAGATGGATTTAAAATGATTTACAAAGGTCCTGGCTATATCCTCTTGGTTGGTAACTACCTGCCCTTCTATTTCTAGTCTAGCTACTAAGTTCTTCCTCCTTCTACCATTTGCCAGCTCATGAAAGAACCTAGTATTCCCATCCCCCTCTTTAATCCGCTTGTGCCTCGACTTCTGCCTCTAGTAAATCCCTTCTCTGAGTAAAACCTCTTCTAGGTCCTTCTTCAATTGTCTTCTTGATTCTCTATCTTGTTCACTCAACAACCCTTGGGCTTCCTTTTCATCCAATTTTTCAATTTGTGTGACCAAGCTCAACTTTTGTTCCTCCACCCTACCAAAGTGATCTTTATACCACTCCTTCAATTTGACTCTTAGTCTCTTCAACTTCTGATGAAATTTAATTCCTTTCCACTTTATTCCCCTTAACTCCTCTTCCAGCAATCCTTCACTATGCTTTCAAACCCAAGATGAGTTAACCACATATTCTAAAACCTAAATGTTTAGGTCCACTAACTAGGGATTCCACACCAATCTTGATGGGACAATGGTTTGATGTGACCCTAGGCAAAGCTCTAGAGACCAAGTTCCCCTAGTAGTTTTCCCATTCTAAGTTGAATAGAAACCTATCCAGCTTTGAACACAGCGGATTATCTTGAAAGTTGTGAATCTAGCTTGCAGCAGTGGAATTTCTTTTAGCTCGCAATCTTCTATAAACCCATTAAATTTCCTCATACTTGTTGTAAATTTGTAATTGACTGGACATGATTGCTAGATTCCTCTAAGTATCTTGTGACATTAAAATCCCCTCCCAGACACCAAGGTCCATCCCATAAACCCCGAATTGCATATAATTCCTCTCACAATTCATTTCTTTCTCTGTAGGAATTAGGGTCGTACACATTGGTCAACACCCAACAAAATCCATCCTCTACATTCTTGAATTTAATGGAGATCGAGTATCTACCCACTAGCTCCTCCACAGCTTCCACTACCCCATTCTTCCATACGGTGACAATTCCTCCCAAGGCACCCCAGGATGGAGCCGAGGACCAACTAACACCCCTAATCCTCCAAAATCCTCTTATCCATCTTCCATCCAATCCAGAGAGCTTCTTTTCTTGCACCATCACAATGTCAGGCTTCTCTCTTGTGAATAAATCCTTTATTACCCTCCTTTTCCTAGCACTCCCCAAGCCTCTCACATTCCAACTGATAATCCTCATGGGCACACTTTCAATAAAGTCCATCCTGAAGTCAACTCCTTACCTAGAGTTCTTCCTCCTCTCTCCCCTTCCACTAAACTCAATATCAGCCTCAATGTCAAATATTAGTCGTTGCACCTCTGTCCTTTTCTTCTTTCTATGTTCCCTTTTCTCCTCTTTTTTTTCCTCAGGTTTCCTTTGGTATGTTTTAACTACTTCCTTTCCCACCCCAAGGTCAACCTTTTGATAATCTCTTCCTGTTTCAGAATTCAATTCTGTCCTCTTATCTTCTTCTATTTCAGCCCCCTCTCCTTCCTCACTAGGCAATCCCTTCTTCTGAAAATTCCTTTCCAAGTAATCTTCCTTCAATCTAACTTGCAGACATATTTACAAAAGGCTTACATCACTCGCGGCACGATGACTTATGTGACAAGTTGGGCATGATTGATATCTATGTCCCAACTTGAGGGGGAGTGTTGAATATGTTAGTCTTTTCTTTAGTTTAGTGCCGCAGGGGCACATATGTAATTTTACCTTCTTTTATTTTAAAGTGAGTCGCCCTAATATAAATAACAAAAAGGATGGTGCCACCAGCTTATGTTTTTTGACTCCAAAACTTTTCTCTCTTCTCTCTTCTCTCTTCTCTCTTCTCCCTTCTCTTCTCTCACTGTTCTGATACTCTGTTGTGTGTTTACCAAGAAAACAGAAACTTTGTAAACCAAATATCATTGATGCATCTTATACAGGCCTACTGACATAAATTGGTGCCACAAGGTTGCAAAAGGACAAGTTGATTTCAATGACACAAGCTTTTTGATGCTTCAACGATGACTTTTGAAAGAAAAGATGGGGTATGGATAGAGTTTCACTACCTGATTCTAACTCTTTAATTGAAGTCTAACCAGTCAAACAAGGAAGATCATGCAACCCATGGACTTCATGAAGAATCAGACATAAAGAGAAAACAGACATTGCAGAGAAGTTAAGGACCAACTATTAATTTGGAAAAGAGAGTCCAACATCTTTTTACAGAAAAATGACCCCCCCCCCTTCTAAGGAAGCGAACATTAGCTTGCACAGACACAGAAAGCAATCATGTTAAGAAAATACAAAATCTAAAGTAGTTTACAGCATATTTTAAGGGAGTGAGGGCCATATTAGGTATCCAGAATTACTCTCTCTTCAAGGATTTGGAGTTGCTACAGTGATGGGATTTTAGTTCAATCTAGAGGTTCCAAAGCTTGGCCTCTTACAAAATAGATACTTCATTCCAAAGTAAGAAAAGTAAAATCCATCATCCCTATAAAATCTCTAGCTTTTCTAAGTCAGTATTGCTTATCAGTCTAAAGTTTGATTTTTACTTGGCAAGGGCAATACACTAGAAATGGAAATACTTCACCAAATTTAATGCAACCACAAAATCTTTGCGAACTTGATGCTTCCAGAACCATACATTACATTGAAATAAATGAAGAAATGAATATTTGAGCAAGAGTAGGAGACTTGAGAAGAAACAAATAATTATTTGAATCAGATATTTGGGTAAAAGAATTTACTCCTTTCTAACCAACTCCTTTCAATGACTAACACATTTCACGTAGCAATTTGATTATAGTGGCTGGACCCTCTACATATTCCTTGATTTCATTGGATCAACTATCAATACTTCTACCTCCTCTATATTTTGTATTTATATAACATTTTGATGGTGTTTGCCTATATGGTCATCAAGAATTTTCCTTAAGTAGTTCAGCTGCTCGAATTCACCTTGAAGCTCCTCCCACTGTAAGAATGATAACAATAAGAAACTCACAACATCAGCCATAATATAAATAGAAGAATACTGAGAATTAATATGCACAAGAAGAGCCACCAATCCAAGATGTCACCCACTGATCAAAAAGTCCATGCTTATTCAATACCTGGGTGGGTAAAATTTGAAGTAAAGGCATCACCAGCCCCTCCCTCATAGCTCATTGGTATTAACTACAATAATTATCATTCAAGCTATGAAATTTATATTTGTTACATCTACAAGCTGTCTAAAACTTATTAATAACATATTCCCACTGAAGATACTTCTCCCACATGTAGAGGATGTAATGACATCAAAGGCTCATAATATATAAATTTTCCATTTTATGGGCAGAAATCAAAAACAATTCCTCATATTTATCTCTTTATCTCCATGCTTAAATAATTTAGACTTTCTATCTAGGTTTTTGAAGTAAAAAAAACAGACACCAGTTATGATTTTCCTTAGTTAAAGAACAAACTTCATTACAATATCCACAGCAATGTTCCCAAGCTGTCTGTAAGTGTGTTGTGTATTGTGTGTGTGAGTGTGTGTGTGTGTGTGTGTGTGGAGGGGGGAGAGGGAAACAGTTCCTTGGGTGTTTTTAAATGCCTAAGTGAGAACAGATATCTATGTTCCACTTGATGGGGATTTTAGTGATATTGACATATAACTCAATAGGGGAACTTTTGTACTTTTATTGGTTTTACACCTTAGGACAAACACAAAGGAACTCAACCCCAACTGAACAGCAGCAAGACCCACATCAGATTCACCCCAAACCAAAAAAGGTAAAAAAAACACTACCCCACTGAGAGCAAGATTTCAAACCCTGCCCCTCCTAAACGCCTACAAAACAAAACCACCATTCAGACCTTGACCACATCCGCAAAAACATCAGCAACTACCTATTCAGGCCTTACAATCACACTTCCAAACCCCAACCCAGCCTCAAACCCAATTACTTGAATGCTAGAGAATCAACTGCCGTAAGTTTGCCACCTCTCTTCTTAAAAATTTCTAGCTTTTTCACCTTCTTGGTAGGCCCTATGCCAAACATAATTCCTCTCAATCTGGCAAACACTTTTGAAATCGGAAAGATTGCTAACACTTAATCTTTTAAAACACTTTACTGCATTAGGATTCTTCTTAACCTCTTTAACAGCTTTAACACTATCATTAATGCTGTCAAACTCCAACACAACATTCTTTTCAATAGTCTTGAATTCTACTCCCCCCCCCCCTCTCAAGAAGAATAAACCCAGTGTTTTACCCACTTCCACTAACTCTCTACTATATGTGTTTCATCCAATGTAACTTCATCCTCTAGATTCTCTTCCCCTTTAACTTCATACTCATCTTCCTCATTCTCATTTAATGGTCTTGTTCTGTATCTTCATTTCCTACTAAACATCTTAGCACAATCCAACTAGGAGGGTGCAAGTGAGTTTCCAATGGACATAAAGGTCAGCTAATAGTGTGGCTGATGCTTTAGCAAAACAAGGGGTGGGGAGAAAGCAATAAAAAAATGAAGATTATTGATAAAAAAAAAAGACAATACACAGATTTGATTCTGCAAGAGGCCCCTTTGTGCTGCCAAAGGTTAGGACCATATCCAATCTTCCCAAGACCCCAGATGGCTGGGACCAACATTGGGCAATGGTCTTTAGAAGTATTGGAAAATGATACTTAGTTCTAGAAAAATGAATATATAACATGACATCAACATAGTAAATGTATACTTGTATCCATACTCATTTGTCTGGATCTCCAGAAATAGAGATTCATGCCTCCTTTTTCCATATCCAGTTTGTGTATTAACAGTATCTAGGTGTCTTAAACGTTATTAAAGATGTTAAAGCATTTCCTTTTTGGAACTTACTTCTTGATAAGACAAAGACACTAATTTCCAACCAGCAGCAGTAATATACTGGCGCTTCAGCATGGTGTGACCTAAGGGGGTCCCTGCAGGGTCAATGGAGATAAAAGGATAAAAACAATGTTCAGAGAAAAATCAAAAAAACTGCTAAAGCTTAAACTATGAAAATATTTAGGTAAAAAGAGAACACCAGAATTCCGTGAGAAGTGAGTCGGTCCATCAATCTCCAGAGCAACCTTTTGATCAACCAAGACTGCATCCAAGGTATATCCATCTACAGCATATTCTCTAACCCAATCAAGGCCCGTGCTGACAAGAAGGCGAGCCACTTCCTTTTGGAATGAAGAAGTTGTTTTCTGATTAAACCTCTTAGTTTTCCCAATCTGTACAATTTTCTCCTTCAGGTTAGACTTCAAAGATAAGTCAAGCTGTGGGTATTCAAGCTTCAAACACTGGTTCACAAGATGAACCTGAGAAGCAAACATGATATCCTCCCTATACTGCTCTGAAATCCTTTGCTCCTCAAATTGGCTTAGAGTCTTCCACAAATTGGAGAAGAAGACCCTATCCATTTGTCCAAGAACAGCATACGACCATGCTATATTACCAAGTTGATCCCTAGTAAAATTGAGTACAGGAGAATCTAAAGACTCCTCCAAGGTAAGATCCTCCATGCTTTCCAGGCTTCTTTCTTCTTCCAAGAAGTATTTGAAATTGGCTGCATTTCCAAAAGCATCATCAAGGGAGTTCAATAAAAGGTCTGCTGGCTCATAAAGAGAAGCAAAGGCCCACAAAACCTGAGCAAGCTCTTGCTCGGAAAAAGTATGAATTATATCTGATGCCCTTCTGGATAATTCTGAAAAGAGTTCTGAAGCAGAGTGCTGCATTGAAGCAAATGCACCTGCTAGATTAGCAACATTTTGTGAATTGAAGTCCTCAACTTTGGTTACTGCCACTTCTGCAACTCTATCCATTTCTGACATATATAGTAGCTCACCCCCTATCTTTGACAATGCCCAGGCAATATTGGAGATACCCTGAGCAGAGCATTCGGGTAATGCTGCCATCGCGATGGCCACAAGCATAGACATCTCTCTTTGACGAGCAAATGCCAACCTATGACTTCTTATCATACAGACGTTCTCCATGTTTTTAGCAATTCGGTGAAGGGCAGTTGCAATGTTCAAAGGGGTGAGAGGGGATGGGTTCAATCCTTTCCCCACTGCTAAGATTGTCTCAGTAGATACTTCCAGTACTTCTTCTGCAGTCTGTGCTTCTATAATTGCTTTATTCAAGGTTACTTCTTTCTTCCTATCAGAGGGTCCAGAGAACTGGGAGAGCCTTTGCACAAAAGCATCCCTTGCTTTCTCCTTCCTTTCTTCGAACATACCACCTGCAAGCATACTCACTGTCCTTCTAAGGTGGCCGGTACCATCTGCAGGGTCCATATCCTCCATATCAAATTCTTCATCTGAATATTCTTCTGTTATCTTGCTTCTAGTACTGATCTTCTCTGTGTTGCTCCGCTTGTTCTTGTTCTTGTTCTTCTTATTATTAGCAGTAATTAAATCTTCCATGGTATGAGTCAAGCCACGTGCCTCAATGGATTTCAATGCAACCTTCCTTGCCCTCGCACACCAATCCATCCCTTCGGTATCATCGAGCAATTTCGACTTTTGACGGTTTCTCTTCTTAGGGGGCTGGAACCCTAATGGATCGAGCTCCCCAAGAAATTCCAACTCCCAGTCCATGTCATGCTCTTGCTGATCCTCCTCTACACTTTTAACACCAACCGAAACATTCCATCCTATGTTTCTGCAATTCCTTCCGAGAAAACCCAGCTCGAGTTTCCTATAAGAAAGCCCATATCCCAATTTCGTTATTGGAAGCTTCTGAACTCTTTTTTGAGCAAAATTCAGCGTCTGCAAGCATCTCTGAGGCACAAATGTATTAAACAACCCTTCCATTTTTACGAAGAGAGAAACGACAACTTGAAGGACTCAGAACCACTGGGGACTAGCTCAAAGAAAAGACTCTCCTCTCACACCCATGAAGGAATATAATCAGTTCTGGAAAAATAAAGAGAAAAAGAGAAATGACCCAAGAACAAGAATCCAGTTGTTACAGAGAACAACGGCAAAATCTCGCATAACCAGAAGCAATCCAGTTCCTACAGTTGCGAAATAACGGCAGAAGTCTTACTATTACCACATCTTGGCATTGAATTTCTAGCCGTTGCATAAATATGAGATGAAATGGAGAGGAGGTGCTTTGATCCCTCGATCACTCTCTCTCACTTATCTTGTTTCACTGCATGAAGAGATTACCAAAAGTTCGGGTCGGGATAAGCGTATGTAGCCAGCCAGCCGTCTGGTTGCAGCATCACTTGCCACGTTTGCATATTCAATAATTCATTGGATTTTTTGAATAAAAAAAAAATATGATAAATTACAAAGACCACTTGTACTATGGGCTCAGTGACAAAGTCCCCACTGTAATTTTTTTTGCGACAAATTGCGCCTGAACTTTAACCGTTATCGTTAACGTTCTAACGGTTAAATACGAAAAAAATTTCATCCGACTGTTTATAATTTTTTAAATGTCCAAACTACCCCTTGTCACTGTCCCCCTTTTGCAACATCATGGCTATAGCGTCACGTTTATTGTCCATGGAGACATTGCACCTTGTATCATGGTGTCAGTGACAAAGACCCTTCCCCTTCATTCGCATTCCGTCAGATAATTTCGAAAAAGATTTTTATCGACGGTTTAAAGTTTTCTAAATACCCAAACTACCCTTGTTCTCCCCTAATGTTGTACCGACCCTATTACGTCTCATCTTTTAGGATTGTTTTGTTCATGTGCCATGACAGAATTCATAGACAGGCCCAACTCCGTTGCCGATGCAACAAGGCCGGAGCTTCGGATCTCCGACATCTCTCGATCAAAATGCAACAATATGATCCATAGTCAAGCTGGTTGTCAGTGCCATGACGGAATTCTTTGATAGGCCCAACTCCGGTGCCGGTACAACATGACCGGAGCTTTGAATCTCCGACATCTCTCCACAAACATTTGCTCCTTGGGCTTCGCATTTAGGAAGAAAAACGCATGTTGGAATAAGCCAGCCAAAAACAAGTCCTGAATTAATTTTTCATGGAAAAGCCATACACATTTAAGTTAAATTATTGAACAGAAGCTGATTGATCATGTGACTATGATCACTTGATCCCATCAACTATGTGTTCAGAAGGATTTCACAGTCAACTTGAGTTAAATGTGGGGTATGGGCCATGGGGTTAAAACTTAAAAGTAGTTGATATTAAACACGTTTATCTTTAGTTCTTTTGCCTTCTCCGGCAACCAGATTGAAGTAGAGGTCAACAATGTTGAGGCAGTTGTCATAACACAGGGAAGAGCAAAGCTTCTGTATGAAAGAACGGGACAATGTTTCTGAACAATATACAACAAGACCTTGGTGCAAAGGAGGGGGATCCTTCACGCCGACCAGCAACTGATGACCGGTGATAGAACCAGATGGTGGGTTCATGCCTACCCGACCGATAGCGCCCTGTTCCACCGGGACTTTGCCATGGCGATGACATAATTCGGAAGACTGGCATTGGTGGTATTGTTAATGGCATAGATGTTCAGGAGTGGAACCCAACCATAGACAAATATATCAATGTTAAATACGAGGGTTAGACTATGATATGGAAAAGATATAATATCCGAAAGCAATTGATCAATAAATTGGAATCATAAACGTGATAGCCAATCAGGTGTTATTTATCAAAATTCATGAATGATTTTGATGGGTCATAACTCTTTCCATATCATTTATACTACAACTATAAGGAACTTTCAAACCACCCTCTCTCCCATTTATTTGACAGTTTCTTGTTGCAGGAATTGTCATTTCCAGGTTATGGATGCAAAGCCTCTTCTAAAGGAAGCACTTCAAGCAAAAATCGAGTTGCATGTGGACCGAAATATCCCTATAATAGGCTTTATCGGTAGGCTTGAAGAGCAGAAACGTTCAGATGTTCTCCCAAATTCATCGGAAAGAATGTCGAGATAATAGTCCTCGTAAGCATCATATAAGGGCAGGTCCGACTCAACTCCGTTTGGGCAGCCTTCAAATTCTGACAGCCCCATTTGGGCAGGTCCGATTCAACTGTTCGAATATCGTACGACAGAAGGGGGAAAATGAACTACCGAACTCTGTTTTTTATGTCTTTCTCGGTTTTATTTTATTGCCTCTTAAGGTAGGTCTCTTTCCTTTGCAGGTAAATATGTATGGGAAATTTATTTAAGGGGTATTTTTTTCCCATTGACCAACTTTCCTATGTTCTTAGGCCATGTTAAAGTTATCCTTAGGCCATGTTTGATTCGCTGCTCTACGCCTTATTCTTTTAATTCTTGCTTATTCCAGGTAAGAATGGGCAAGAATAAATCACATTAGAGTGTTTGGTTACAAAATTATTACCAAAGGTCACATTCTTCTTAGAATGAAAAATCAGCTTTGTAGCACAAAAATAGAGCAGCTTGCGGCATGAAAAATAATCATGCCCCATCTTGCTCATTTCATTATTTGAGGAAACTTTGCCTACAAAACTATTGCCATAAATGTTTACTTTTACGAAAGCACTTTTACGAAAACACTTTTATGAAAGCACTTTTTTGGAAATACTTTTATAAAAGTACTTATATAAAATCACTTTTACGGTAGTACTTTATAAAAGCACTTTTACGAAAGTACTTTTTTAAAATCACTTTTATAAAAGTACTTTACTAAAGCACTTTTATGAAATTACTTTTATAAAAGCACTTTTACGAAAACACTTTTACAAAAGCACTTTTATAAAAAGTAATTTTATGAAAACACTTTTATAAAAGCACTGTTACGAAAGTACTTTTACAAAAGCACTTTTATGAAAGTACTTTTATAAAAGCATTTTTACGGAGTACTTTTACGAGAGCACTTTTATAAAAACACTTTTATGGAAGTACTTTTACGAAAGCACTTTTATTAAACTTTTATGAAAGCACTTTGATAAAAGGACTTTTACAAAAGCACTTTTATGGAAGCAATTTTATGAAAGCACTTTTACGGAAGTACTTTTACAAAAGTACTTTTAGGAAAGTACTTTTACAAAAGCACTTTTACGAAAGTACTTTTATGAAAGCACTTTTACAAAAGCACTTTTTATGAAAGTACTTTTATGGAAGCACTTTTACGGAAGTACTTTTACAAAAGCACTTTTAGGAAAGTTATAAAAGCACATTTACAAAAGTACTTTTATTAATTTTACAAAACATCTATGCCAAGTGGTGAACATTGACTGTTGAAGACCTAGGCTAGCAGTTTGTGAATGCCGACACGACTTTTTTTTTTTTGAAGAATGAAAATAAGCAACATAGGACATTTGTTGGTATGAAAATCATTCATTTTTAGGAAAAAAGTGTTTGGTTCATAACAATATTTTCTCATTCTATCTATTTTTACCAATTCTTTTCCATTTTAGAATTTCATCTTGGGTAAAAATGAGAAAGAATGAGAATTAAACCAAACATGGCCTTACTTTCCTAGGTAAAACTTACCCATCTCTCAAGTGGATAAGTAACTTTCCCACCTAGGAGAAAGTTTTACAAAACCTAATGGGACCATTTTACCCATTTTAAGAGTTACTTTTGATGGCTAGAAATGTCATTTTATTATTTACCTGGGAATCCTAAAAATCAAAAGAACATGAATAAGTGCACTTACCCAGGTAAGTTGCACTGTTACAAACGAATAAGGCCTAATGAAGAGATTTTTTTAAAACCGAACTCTATTTTTATAATGAAGAGATTTTTTTGTCAGTTAGGTTTTATGAGAGAATGGTATAAAAAAAAAGAAGGGACAATTTCTTAAACTACCCTTATGGTTTAACTAATTGACTAATTCTGTCCTTATTGTTTACATATTATCTTAAAGTACTCCTATTGTTTCTAACAATTGTCTAAAACCTCCATTGCCGTTAACTTTCCACCACACTCTGTTCACATGTAACACTACATGACTGGTAATTTTTTTAAAGCTCTTAAAATACCCTTCTTATGAACTATTCATCGTCCTCAACCTTGAGACGAAGAGCAAAGCGGTGGTGACAAAAACCCCTTCTCCTTCCAATTAGGGGTGTCCATGAAAAAATGAAAGACCAAAACAATGAATAGAATCGAGAAAACCGAACCAGAAAATGCAGTTAACTGAACTGATTGATTCAGTTTCGATGTGGTATTTTTGAAAAAATGAAGAACTGGTTCGGTTTTCAGTTAACCTACAGTTAACCAAACCGACCGGTATATATATTTATATGTATATTTTATATATTTTTAATGTATGTCACATATTTTCTATATATTATATATAAATATATATTCATTATATATAATTATATGCATATATTATATTTATAATAATCTATTTATAAATATATTATATATTATATATTATATATTTTATAATATATTATATATTATTTATAATATATTATATATTATTTATTATTTATTATTTATTATTTATAATATAATATTATATATATTTATATAATATATGATATAAATATAAAAAATTGAAAAACAAAGAATCAAACCGGTCAAAAACTGAAACCGGCAGACCGATTAATTGGTGGTACCGGTTTGGTTGGTTTGGAGAAATGGAAAAACCGGTGGTACCGATTCGGTTTGCAAAAATTTCCCATGGTTTGGTTAACCGTATCGTGGACACCCCTACTTCCGATTCCTCTATCTCCTCTCACTTATCCATCTTCCCTTTCTCCCCTCAACTGGAGCAACTTAGTGGTCAAACTCTAGTTTTCTCTAAAGCTACTATGCAATCATTTGGTATCCGATGTAATGAGAAATTGTTTTTTATGTCACGGTTAGAGGTGAAAAGGCTATGCAGATGCAGCTTCTAGATTGATGTATTTGCGTAAATACATCCAGAAGTACTTTTTACCTTCTCAATAAACTTGATTCCTTCTAAGAACTAATGTGTGGTGAAGTAAATACAAATGGAATGGATGGAAAGTTCAGTAAGTTGAATGTATGAGTAATGTGTACAGATTTAACTGCTTTAATGAAAAAGGTGTTGATATAGTTGAATTATGATATAGAGAGCCATCCTAAGACAATGTTTGGTTACAATGCAAATAAATTTGCACTGATGCAAAACTGTGGTAGTGCAAATGATTTGAGTGTAAATTCCAACCTATTTTTGTTTCAAAATTTAGTTTATTTTGTTTGATTGCATTACAA